CTTTTTATGGTGCTGGAGATTGAACAAAGGGCCTTGAATGTTGAGTAAGTATTTTACCACTGAACCACATCCTTCAAATGTTTTTTATTTTTGTGCCAGTAGTGGGGATTAAACCTTCAGGTCCTGGGTGCTGTCCCTTAGTTCTTTCACTCAAAGATAGAGCTTAGTTCTTTCTTAGTTCTGTCACTCAAGGATAGAGCTCTACCACTTGAACAGCTCTACTTCTGGCTTTTTGCTGATTAATTGATGATAAGAGTCTCAAGAACTTTGCTACCTGGGCTGGCTTTGAACTGAAATCTTCAAATCTCAGCTTCCTGAGTAGCTAGGATTACAGGCATGAGCTATCAGCACCTAACCAAAATTTTTTTAAGATTTTGAAAAAAATGTTATGTTTTTATAATTTTTGAGATGGAACCCAGGGCCTGGTGGATTCTGAGTAAGTGAACTACATGCTTCCTCAAGGGTTAGTTTATTTGTCATTTCAACTATTTATTATTAGCTTACATTAATTATAATGGGAGGGGAATTTTGTTACATTTTCATACATGTTTAAACTATATTCCAATCATCTTCACCTTTTCCTCTATCAGAGCTTTCCTTTCTCCTCTTCCCATCTCTCAAAACAATTTCAGCAGGTTGCATTATTCTCTTGTCATAGTTGCAGACAATCTGCTTTGGCTATAGGTTTTCTTCTAAAAGTATGAAAGTAGCCTGTATTTACAAAATCTTTTGTGTTTGTGTGCTGGTACTGGGACTTGAACTCTGGGCTTTGTATTTTTGCTGGGCCTTTTTGACCAACATTAGCTCTCTACCACTGGAGGCACACCTCCAGTCTGATATAGTTGCTGCTTAATTGGAGATAGTATATTTAGGCTTTTCTGCCTGGTTTGACTTCAAACTGCATTTCTCAGATCTCAGCCTCTGAGTTTCTAGGATTATAGGCTGAGTACTTTATCAGATCTTTAATTTATGAACTTATCTGCATCATCATGGCATATGGCATTACTTGATGTATATAATAGTTGAGGTGGATGTAGTAGTCACACTTGTGGACCCAGCTTCTTGGGAGGTTGAGGTAGGAGGATGAATTGAGCCCAGAGTTTGAGGCCAGCCTGAGATGCAGGCTAAGCACCTGTATCTAAACAAAAGGAACATTTAAAAAAAGGTACTGGTACAAAGGGTGAACAAATGTAGCAATGGTACCCACTAGACACTATGTTGAAAATGAACTATACAACTTGTGGGTGGGGGCAGAGAGAAAAATTGGGAGAGCGCAAGGGAAGGGATGACATTGTCCAAAAAGAAATATACTCATTACCTTATGTAACTTTAACCCCTCTGTACATCACCTTTGTAACAACAATAAAAAAATTAAAAAATGTTAAAAGTATACAACAAGAGGTACTTTATTTCTGGGTATTTGCAGAGTGCAGTCGATAATGGAGAAATGAAACCAAAGAAAGTGAAACCATTTATAAGGAGATGTACAATAGGAATTTTTTTTCCAATATAAATTTAGCATAAGGTCATAGTAGATTTGAGTGGACCCTAAATCCAGTAAGTGTGATATCCTTAAAAGAAGGTCAGAGGACCCAGACACACAGGGAGAATGCTATGTGATGTTGGAGATAGAGACTGGAATGATCCAGCTACGAGTGTCGATCCCTACCATATCCTCCCTCACACCTGACTTAGCTTGTCCATGTCCTGACCCTTCAGCAGGTCATTCTGCCAGGTAGATGTACCTCAGCTTTGAGCCAGGCCAGCTCTTGTGTGGCTCTCCTCCTCACCTGGCTCTTTGCTGTGCTGACTTTTAGCATTGCATAAGCAGTAATGCTGTATAGTTTCTGCAGCAATCTGCTTTTTCCACTCAATTTGTCAATGCATGGAACTTTATTTAGTTCATGCATATGTGCTGCTGTGTGGTATTGCATGATGGGAAACTACCACTGTTGATGGACATTTCATTATTTAAAGCTTTCCTGTGACCCCCTGTACTTGTTTCCTGGCACACATGGGCAAGCTTTTTTAGGGCACATCCCCAGGGATGGTTTCACTGCATCGCAGAGTATGGACATCCTTACATTTACTAGGTACGGTACAGCCAAAATCTTTCCCCAAATGAACCACTTATCCTCTCCGGATTCTCTTGCCAGTGACCATAAGTAGAGCTTTTTATTGTTCCATATCCTCAGAAGACAATGAGCTTAGACTTTTAAAATGCTAACAGTCTTCTCTGCCAAATGATAGGTTTTTGTTTGTTTTTTGGTGCAGGTACTAGGGCTTGGACTTGAGGCTTAGGCACTGTCCCTTAGCTATTTCTCTTAAGGCTAGCACTCTTCCACTGAAATTATGGCTCCAATTCCAGCTTTTTGCTGGTTAATTGGAGAGAAGAATGTCACGAACTTTCCTATTGGGCTGGCTTCAAACAGCAATCCTAGGATCTCAGCCTCCTGGGATTGTACTGTCCTCTTCCCTAACAAGGCTGACCACCTTTCCCAATTTTTACTGGCTCTTTTGAGTTTCTTCTCCATGAAGCCCTTGTTGCCTTCCCTCTTTTCTTAATCTTTTGTTAATCCAACACCTATTTATTGTGATTATGCAAGAACTGATGTGTATTTTTTATGGTACTGGAGTTTGAACTCAAGGCTTGTGCTTGCTAGCTCTCCCATGACCTCTCCCTGTTTTTGCTCTGGTTATTTTTTAGATAGAGGCACACTTTTGGCCTGGACCTTTTATACTTTCTACCATAGCTTGAATGACAAGTATGTAACACCAGCTATTGTACTTGTTAAGATGGGATTCTCAAAAACTGTTTCCGCAGGGACTGGCTTTGACCCATGATTCTCTTGATTTCTGCCTCCTAAATAACTAGAATGACAGGCATGAGCTACCAGTAACTGGCCCCAAGCAGACATGTTTTTAACAAAATCTAATAGACCAATTAACCTGATAGATAACATAGTATTATGTAACTTATCACTTACAATATAAACATAAATTTAATATCACTTCAATATATCACAGATTTTAAATGTATCATTTGATGCTCTTTTCAACTGGTATGTGTGTTACAGAAAGATGATTATATAGCTGGTGCCTGTGGCTCACATGTGTAATCCTAGCCACTCAAGAGGCTGAGATATGAGGAGACAGACAGAGAGAGAGAGAGAGAATGCAAATTGGAAGTGGAGCTGTGGCTCAAGTGGTAGAGCACCAGCCTTGAGCAAAAAACTATGGGACAGTGCCCAGGTCTTGAGCTCAAGCCCCAAGGTCTGCAAAAACAAGTGGGAAGTAACTTGTCTGTCAGTTTCCTTTCCCTCCTCAGCCTCTTGAGTGATCTTTAGTGACCCAACAGATTTTAAGTGTGGACTCCATATATATATATTTAAAAAAAAACAAAAGTTGTCTTGTAATAATGACTTCATAAAATGGTTAAGTCAGCACTATGCTCTCTTCTGATTTTGTTTGAAAAGTGTTGTTTAAGAAACTATTCTCCAGACTGTGCTTCACATCGAGAGAAATGTAGGGCATGCTGATTGATGGTGGCTAGCTAGAATACAGGCATAAGAAGAATGAAGTGGGTATTAATTTTACCAGTGTTAAAAATGGTATAAAATCATTTCTTACCAATGTTGCTAAGTAACATGCCACAAAACCAGTTTGATCAAGCCAATTTAAGGCATTTTAAATAAAAAGTAGAAATGGAAATATTTTCAGTCATAGGTAATCAGGGCTCAAAAAGCCCCTCCAAGCCAGGTAGTGGTCACTCATGCTTATAATCCTAACTACTCAGGAGATATGAGAATCTCAGTTCTCAAGTAGACAAATCTGTGGACTCTTAACTCCTATTAACCAGCAAAAAGCTAGAACTGAAGGTGTGCTCAAGTGGTAAGTAGGAGTGTGCCACTTCTATACCCATTTGTGTTTTGGTTCTTTGCTTCTACATGCTAGTCAGAGCATTCCTGACCTGGTGGGCTGAGGACAGAGTGATCCTGAACACGGATGAGAAGAACCCACACAATTTCTGGTTATCCATCTTCATCTTTTCTTTCTCATTCCCTCTCCAGGAGGCTTAGGTAGAAGGAAATAAAACCTAAATGTTTATTGATATGAAGAATTGTTTGAGTCTATAATCATCTAGATGCTCTCTGTTTTGGGTTTAATCAAAGGGCATTGCCCATTTCAGACTCTGGCAAACCAACCAGGACCAGGATCTTCAGAACTACACTCTCCATCACCACCATCTGCACCATGATCCAGACCAGAAGAATTGTGCATGGGTCCTGGAAGCGTGGTCCCATGCACACTCTGTTTAATTGAAAATAGACCATGTGGCTTTTGGTGTATGAACCTTGAAGTTGGGGGCATTAGTTTCATGGAGATGTCATTTCCTAACATTACTTTTCTATGTTCATTTTGGTGAGCATTAGGATGGAAATTGTTTGCCATTATGGTCTTTTTCATTCTAATTGCTCACATTTGAAAGATAATAGGCATAATATGTCTGCTCATAGTAGCAGAATTTACCGTCTGAATCACCAGTGCACTGGAAAGAATGAACTATTCTTAAAATATAAGACTTTGACTGGGCACACTGGCTTATGCCAATAATCCACCTAGTTAGGAGGTAAAGACAGAAGGAGAACGGTCTGAGCCTAGGCTCAGGCAAAAGTTGTCAAGAACCTTTCTCAAAAAACAAGCTGGGCAAGATGGGATTTGCCTATACTTCTAGCTACATGGGAGGCAGTGGTAGGAATGTCATGATCCAAGACTAGGTCTAGGCAAAAGTATGAAATCCTATCTCAAAAATAAAAGCAAAAAGAGTTTTTGGCATGAATCAAGTAATATACAGCAAGCTCAAGTCTGAGTCCAAACGAACAAACAAAACAAAACAGCAAAAAAACAAAACAAAACAAAACAAAAAGCCCCTTCACAAAAACCACATTTTTGTATAAATTTTTACACAACAGCTTATTCTTTTATTAACAATTTTTCCCCTCTGATTGTTAAAATAACATGTGTTTTAGAAAATTTATAAAGTACAAAAAATGTATAAAAAAGAAAGTAAGGGTCATTCATAATTCTAGTACCAATCACTAATCACTCTATAGATTTTACTTTATACCAACTGAACTTCAGCTCACTCCAACTTCCAGAATTCATAGAATTCTTACATAGTATTGATCTTTTCCCACAGAAAATAGCATATAAATATGTAACATATACAAAATACTGAAATAGAATAAAGGGTTGTTGTTTTTTTTTTTACAAAGTAGCCTTCCTGTAGAACCCCATTTCCCAAATTCCTCTGAGTCAGAGACTCTAATACATACTAACCATTTATTGAAATAAAAAGCAGAAGAGGAAGAGGAGAAGAAAGCCCTTAGAAAGGGTAGGAGCTCATCTCCAGACCCCACCCCTACTCCTCACGCTACTGGGGGCAGGGTGCCCAATTTTCTTCCGTGCAGGAGCTTTTTCAGTCTTAGGGGCTGTAGCAATACGACGAGAGACAGCTTGGGAAGGGATCTGAGAGTTGAGAAAAGAGATGAAAAAGTCAGCATCACATACTCTCAGTCCCTCAACCCCATGGAGGAAGGGCGCACTGTGGAGAGGCCTAGAAAGCAGTGATGACAGGAGAAAGCAAGCCCATGCTCCAGCAAGTAGGAACTGGGATTGGAGAGCTGGGCAACAGGGCAGTGGGGCAGTGGGGCAGTGGGGCAGCCAGGAAGTGGAAAGAGCTGAAGAGCCCAGGTCTCCATTTCCCTCACCTCTTTCCGGGGGATCTCACCCAAGCGGGAGTCTGTGTTCCTTCTGGGGACAGTCTCCCCTCGGCCATCAGTCCTACCACACAAATCAAGGGTATGAAGATGGGGAAGCGATCCCCCAACCCTACCTAACACTGGACAGACAAAATGCTCCTCAATTCTGTCTCTTAACAAGACCTCTCTGTACATCACCTTTATAATAACAATAAAACAATTTTTTAATAAAAGAATATGAACAAGGGCCAAGCACAGTGGTTAGCACCTGCAATCCTAGCTACTGAGAAGGCTGAGATCTGAGGATCACAGTTCAAAGCCAGCCCAGGAAAAAAAAGTCTGTGAGACTCATCTCCAATTAGCCACAAAAAGCCAGAAGTAGAGCTATGGCTTAATAGTAGAGCCTTAGCAAAAAAGCTCAGGGACAGTGCCCCAGACCCTGAGTTCAAGCCCCAGGACCAGCACCTCCCCCTACCCCCATAAAAAGAACAAGGATAGAACTCAAATAGTGTAAGGGAGAATTCAAAAGATATAATTCCTGCCCAATTCTGGTGGCTCACACCTGTGATCTTAGCTACTAAGGAGGCTGAGATCTGAGGATCACGGTTCAAAGCCAGCCTGGGCAAGACAGTCTGTGAAACTCTTATCTCCAATTATCCACCAGAAAACCGGAAGTGCTGCTGTGGCTCAAGTGGTAGAGTGCTAGCCTTAAGCTGAAGAGCTCAAGGACAATGCCCAGGCTTAGACTTCAAGCTCCATGATTGACCAAAAAAGAAAAAAAAAAAAAAAAAAAGATAATTCCTTAGAAAAGCTAACACCTAGTCCAACAAAATAAACCCTAGGAAATAGGTACTCAAACAGGGAAGTGGACTCAGGAGAGGATACCAAATGAAGAGAGGAAATGGGAAGAATGCAGTCATAAAATTAAATGCATGTAGGGGGCTGGGAAGGTGGCTCAGTGGTAGAGTGCTTGCCTTGCATACCTGAGGCCCTGGGTTCGATTCCTCAGCACCACATAAGCAAAAAGAAAAAAGCCGGAAGTGGCGCTGTGGCTCAAGTGGTAGAGCGCTAGCCTTGAGTTGAAGAGCTGAGGGACAGCACCCAGGCCCAGAGTTTCAGGCCCCACGACTGGACCCCCCCCAAAAAAAAATTAAATGCATATACTACAAAATTAAGAAAACCGAGCAAAGGGTAGAGTTTGGAAGAATGATGGAAAATAATAAAAGGAGTGACATTGATCAAGATGCACTATATTCATAAGCTGCTTTGTTGCATGGCAAGTCCTTCATAGAATTACTTAAAGATTATAATTTTTTTTTCTTTACCAGTCCTAGGGTTTGAACCAGAGCCTGGGCACTGTTCCTGAGCTTCTTTTTTTCACTCAAGACTAGCACTCTACCACTTGAGCCACAGTGCCACTTCTGGCTTTTTTTTTTTTTTTTTTTTGAGGCTTGAACTCTGGGCCTGGGCGCTGTCCCTCAGCTCTTCAGCTCAAGGCGAGCGCTCTACCACTTGAGCTACAGCGCCACTTCCGGTTTTCTGGTGGATTATTGGAGATAAGAGTATCACGGTCTCTCCTGCTCGGGCTGGCTTTGAACCACGATCCTCAGATCTCAGCCTCCTGAGTAGCTAGGATTACAGGGGTGAGCCACCAGCGCCCGGCACTTCTGGCTTTTTTTAATGTGGTACTGAAGAATCTAACCCAGGGCTTCATGCATTTAGGCAAGCACTCTACCACTAAGCCACATTCCTAGCCCAAAGATTACAATTTTTAAAAGTATTATATTTTTTTTAAAAAAAGAACAGAAACAAATGGGATCAATAGGAAGAGATGCCAATGGAATCCAATGACTCAGAAAAGCCAGTATCTCAGGATTCTGAGTTTTGAGCTTCAAGATGAAGAGAGGAAAAAAATCTAGCACACAGATCACAGGAAAGAGGAAATAAAGAAAAAAAAGCAAGCCAGCTGCCATTAGTTCACTCCTGGCTACTCAGGAGACTCTTATCTCCAAGTAACCAGCAAAAAACAAACAAAAATTGGCTTGGTAGATCATCAAGTGGTAGAGCATCTGCTGTAAGCAAAAAAGCCAAGCAAGAACATGAGGGCCTTGAATTCAAACCCCAATGCTGCCCCCACCCAAAAAAGCAGTAAAAATGGAGACAAGGAGAGATGGGAACAATGAGGAGAAGCACATCGTTTACTTTCCTTCCAAACACAACAACAAAAAGGGAGTCTTCTCAACAATTGCCATGCTGCAGTCTTCCCTGTCCTGTACCCCTCCCTAATCCAGATTCCACTTCCATCCTCCTCCCCAGGTGTATACCTGCTGTGCTCTAGCCTCTTCAGGGAGAGAAGCAGGTCCTCAGAAGGCACAGTGTCCCACCCTCGGGCCTGGTACAGTCGTAATAGCTGAGACAACTCCATCAGCTGCCTTGGGGAGTTAGGCATTTCTGCACCTGAGACACATGTTGCTACAGGTCATTGCTCTAGACACCCTCCTGCCCTCATTTTCTCTAGAAATCCAGAAGGCCTAAAGCTCTTCCATTCTTCTTTCCTTGGTGAACTGACGGTCTCCTTACCTCTCTCTGGAGAACCAGTACTGGGACCACTGTCTTGGGAATGGGATGAGGGAAGCTCGTGGACCCGGAAGAGACCAGATGCCATGGCTAAGGGAACTTTAGTTTTATGGACCGGGGGTGGAAGCCGTGGCACTTGAGGGACTTCTTCCCAAGATGGGACACTACGAGGACCTAACAAAGAGGAGAGCGATTCAAGAATGAAGAATAGGACATACAAATGAACAACAACCCTGCCCACTCCAAGAAAATCTTGCTATATCGTGATTTCTATAAAGTAAAAAGAACAATAGGTATAATATTCCCAATGGTTATAATGTACTAGACAGCCAAGTTATCTTGTCATTTTAATATAAGTACTTTTTTTACTCAGGTAGCAATTAGCTGTTAGCTGTTATCAATCTCATATTGCAGAATACTAGAAGTAATTGTAACAGTGCCAGGTATAGTGACAAATTGCTTTAGAAGTGGAATGCAGATTCAGATGAAGTATGTATAATCTCCCTATAGATCATTACTGTGGCTTTGTTTCTAATTCAGATTTGCTTATTTGCTAAGACATAAAGCATTTCAATTAAACAATTAAATTTGGGGGGGCCCATCTTGTTCATAGTTGAAACTCACCAGACTTAGGGGGCAACAGGTCAACAGAGCTCTCATTGTTCTGGGGTACAGTCTCCAGCAGCTAAGGAAACAACACAGTAAGGTTTCCTAGTTGATGGTATTGAGGAGAGTAGAGTTTGCTAAAGAAAGGGCTAGTTCCAAAAGAGAATGATGTACTAGGAATGATGTGGAGACAGGGCACAGAGCTGAGAGAAGAACTGGTCCTAAAAGGAAAGGAAGCCAGCTGGGGTTGCTGACGAATGCCTATTATCCCAGCAATTAGGCATCTGAGGCAGAAGAAACATGAGTTTAAGGCCGGCCTGGGCTACATAGTGAAAACCTGTTTTATTTATTTATTTTTTTTGGGCAGGTGTCCAGTCGTGGGGCCTGAACTCTGGGCCTGGGCGCTGTCCCTCAGCTCTTCAGCTCAAGGCTAGCACTCTACCACCTGAGCCACAGCGCCACTTCTGGCTTTTTTCTTTTTGCTTATGTGGTGCTGAGGAATCGAACCCAGGGCCTCATGCATGCAAGGCAAGCACTCTACCACTGAGCTACCTTCCCAGCCCGAAAACCTGTTTTAAAACAAAGCAAATGGTCAGGCGCCGGTGGCTCACACCTGTAATCCTAGCTACTCAGGAGGCTGAGATCTGAGGATCACAGTTCAAAGCCAGCCCAGGCAGGAAAGTCCGCAAGACTCTTATAAGACTACAATAAACCACCAGAAAACCAGAAGTGGTGCTGTGGCTCAAGTGGTAGAGTGCTAGCCTTGAGCTGAATAGCTGAGGGACAGCACCCAGCCCAGAGTTCAAGCCCCACAACCTACAAAAAAAACCCAACAATATTGGGGACATGGCTTAAGAGTAGAGTACAGGGGAATGAATCCTAGATTGAACCACAATCCAGAGGAAAAATGAGGGAGTAAGAGGGCTGGGCACCGATGGCTCACACCTGTAATCCTAGCTACTCAGAAGGCTAAGATCTGAGGATCATGGTTCAAAGCCAGCCCGGGCAAGACAATCTTATCTCCAATTAGCCACCAAAAAAGCCAGAAATGTAGTGAAGCTTTAGTTCAAGTGATAGAGCACCAGCCTTGAGCAAAAAAGCTCAGGGAAAGTACCCAGGCCCTGAGTTCAAGCCCTAGAATCAGTTAAAAAAAAAAAGTGGGAAGAGGAAATGAGAAAGGGCATGGAAAAAAAAATGGTCTACATGGAATCTTACCTGCTGCAAAAAATTCTTAAGACCCTGGAGCTGAGATGCAGGTGGCAGTGCTGGCTTTAGGAAACCATCCCCATCCAATCCAGGATCATCTTCAGGAAATGGCCGTTCTGCCCTTTGATCAGCATCAAAGGTTCCCAGTGCTGAGAAGATCCCAGCTATAAAGTGAAATAGTGCTTTTGCAGGGGTGGCAGTTTCTCAACAAATTAACTCACCAAATGACCAAGGAAATGGCACTATTACATGTAAAACACATCATAGCTAAAAGAAGAAGCTGTTTGTCAGTACTGGGTTTGGACTCAAGGCCCTGCACTTGCTAGGCCAGTGTCCTACTGCTTGAGCCACATATCCTGCCTAAGAGCTGGAGAAAGAACATAGGAAATGGCACAGCTGAATTCTAAGACAAAAGTATATGGAGAAAAAGAAAGCAATGGGGCTGGGAAGGTGGCTCAGTGGTAGAGTGCTTGCCTTGCATGCATGAGGCCCTGGGTTCGATTCCTGAGCACCACATAAGCAAAAAGAAAAAAGCCGGAAGTTGCGCTGTGGCTCAAGTGGTAGAATGCTAGCCTTGAGCTGAAGAGCTGAGGGACAGCACCCAGGCCCAGAGTTCAGGCCCCATGACGGGACCCCCCCAAAAAAAAAAGAAAAGAAAAAGAAAAAGAAAGCAATGGTGCTCAAGACTCTAAACTCTAAACCAATAATACCTTAACTCCTTATAGAATGGAAATAGTTGATAGATATGTTCTGCTGCTTTACCAGAACATATCCCTAATCTTTTTTTTGGTGCCAGTCCTGGGGCTTTAACTCAGGGCCTCAGTTTGAGTCACAGCTCCATTTCCAGTTTTTTGGGTAGGTAATTGGAGATAAAAGTCTCATGGACTTTCTTGCCCAGGCTGGCTTCAAACCATAGTTCTCAGATCTCAGCCTCCTGAGGAGCTAGGAATATAGGTGTGAGCCAGTGGCACCTAGCACTATTGCATAATTTGCAATGCAATGCAACTTACCCTTCACCTTTAATTTTCCCCTGGTTGACATTTTTGTGCCATATACGACATGTGCATCCACCTAAGTCATATCTGACGAAGCCAGGGGTGGCCACCCACCAAGGCCAGCCAGTCCAGTAGATGTATGCCAATCTACCACATCACCTCTTAATTTAAGTTGGACTTAAGAAATTCAATAAATGTTTAAAGCCTGAGCTAGAGTTAGTGTCATGGCTGGTCAAATCCATGTGTAAACCATGGAACAAGGACCTTGAGTGACAGAGAATGCTGGTCTAACAAGACAAAGGAGAAAGCATGCTGGATGGGAAGTATGAGCCCAAGCGAGAAGGGATATTTTGCTGCTGTTCCCAGCCACACCCCTGTTCCCTATTCCACAGTCCACCTGCATCCCATTTCCATGAGCTCTCCTACCCTTTGCCTGAAAGGAAAGCTAGAAGACATGCATCGAAGTGGAATCCCCCTTGACTTCTTCCCTCACTTACCTGAAGATGGAGCAAGATCAGGTTTGGGTTCTAGGGGCTGGAAGGAGTTCTGGCTCTGGAAAGGGTGCCCCAGCAGGAGACTAAGATCAGGAGAGGAACTGCAGTGGGCAGGAGGTATTCCAGGCAGCTCGCTCCTTGCTTCCCGGCTCTGCTGCAGCACAGGTTTCAGGGCCACAGCTGCAGGAGGCACACTCCACACTCTCCTCTCCCCCTTCTCCGGCTCCAAAGACCCAGGGCTAGAGGGCTCAGCAGGAGGAACCTGGCCAATGTATTCAGATAGAAGTCATAGTACAGACATTTAGTGAGATTATAAATTACCTCAACTTTCTTAAAAGAAGGTTGGGTAACCTCTACCAATTATTCAATGGATAAAAACCATTACATTTTAAGCTTTTTTTAAAAAAAATTGTGAAAATACCATACAGAGGGGTTACAATTACATGGGCAAGGTTGGGGTTTTTTCTTACAATTCTATTTCGAGACATTTTTTAGATATACAAAGACATGTATCTTAATGATATTTATTGTAGGTATCAGATAAAGGAATAACTATTACATACATCAATAAAAACTTAGTTGAAAAAAAGGCATATGGCAGTAGACAGAAGGTGAACATTTGGGATATGGGTGGGATAGATGAAAGGGGAGATAAGGCTCAGTTTCTACTTCTAAGGCGAGAACTTGGGAGGCTAAGGCACAGGGATACGAGATAATGTTTACTGTGAACTCTTAATATTCAGGATTTCCTTTTTATCAGTGCATATTATTACTTATTTTACAAAACATGTTAGCTAATACTAACAAGTTCATAATTAAAAGAAGAATGTTACAGGTCTCTAGGCATTCATATACAGCGAGATCCAAGGAGGCTACTCTTAGGAGAAGAGAAAGGCACAATGCCTATATGCATCTGATCATACAAAATATTCATCGAAATGAATTCCAAGAAATGGAAATAAGAGGGTTTTTTTCCCTTTTACTGTTTTGTTTCCTTCTCTTTTTGTTCTGTTTGTTCATTTATATATCTTTGGGAATATAAGGGCAGGCACAGAAATACAGGGACAAAGGGTGAACAAATACAGCAATGGTACTCACTGGACACTATGTTGAAATGAACTATACAATTTGTGGGTAGAGATGGGAAGGAAAAACTGAGAGAGAGCAAAGGAATGGTAACATTGTCCCAAAATAAATGTACTTTTTTGGGCTGGGAAGGTGGCTCAGTGGTAGAGTGCTTGCCTTGCATGCATTAGGCCCTGGGTTCGATTCCTCAGCACCACATAAGCAGAAAAAAGCCGGAAGTGGCATTGTGGCTCAAGTGGTAAAGCGCTAGCCTTGAGCTGAAGAGCTGAGGGACAGTGCCCAGGCCCAGAGTTCAGCCCCTACAACCGTATCCAAAAAAAAAAATGTATATGTTTTTTTTGTCAGTTGTGGGACTTGAGCACTGGGCTTGGGCGCTGTCCCTGAGCTCTTCAGCTCAGGGATAGCGCTCTACTACTTGAGCCACAGTGCCACTGCCAGTTTTCTGGTGGATAATTGGAGATAAGAGTCTCATGGACTTTCCTGCCTGGGCTGGCTTTGAACCGAGATCCTCAGATATGAGCTTCCTGAGTAGCTAGGATTACTAGCTACTAGTACTAGAGTACATTTCTAGCCACTGGTACTCAGCTAGAAATGTACTCTTTACCTGACTTATGTAACTCTAACCTCTCTGTACATCACCATTATAACAAAAAATAAAAATAAGAAGAATGTGAAAGATGCCAACATGAGAAGAGCTAGCTAGGACTAAGACTCCATATTCTACTCTAGGGCAGGACTTAGCAACAATTTTTAACCTTGATTCCCATAATTTAGTCTGCTGTTATTTCACTAAATTAGAATCGCATATTATTCATCACCTATGAGTCTGGGAGAAAAGTTATGTTCAATGGAATATGGCCAGTCTGGGTGAGCTAAGGCCATGACAAAAACGTTTATTTTGGCAAGATAGTTCTTTGAAGCATTGCATACTTGCGAGTTAGAAGATGAGAGTGTGGTGCTGAGCAGCTGATTGGCCTCATCCCAGTGGGCCTGAAGCATGGCTTGGAGTCGTTCTACCAGCTCCACCCGCTGTTCTTCAAGCTGCTGGTTCCCACTCTGTAGGTCCCGAACTCGAGCTTGCTCCCGTGCCAGTCTGAAGAGAAGGGTAAATGTAAGGACTTTTAAAGCACAGAGGCTGGGTCCTGATGACTCATGCTTATAATCCTAACTACTATAGGAAGCTGAGATCTGAAGATCTTGATTTGAAGCCAACCCAGGCAGACAACTCTGAGCGATCTCCAGCAGTTAACCAGCAAAAATCCAGATATGGAAGCGTGGCTGAAGTAGTAGAGTGTCAGCCTTAAGCAAAACAAGCTATGAGATCTTAAGTCCTTGAGTTCAAGCCTCAGTAATCCCATAAAAAAATAAAAAATGAAATGAAGCAGAAACTTGGAAGTTAAGAAAAGCCAAGATGGAATGTCAGACCTTTCAAATTCTAAAGGAGCTGGCCAATATGGAAGAAGAAAAATCTTCTAAGATGCAGCTCTTTACCAACCCTAGTCTGGACTCTACCCATGGAAGGAGCTGAGGACTACCAGGGACTTCCGGGGACCAGTACCTGAGCTCATAGTCCTGAGCCACCTGCTGCTGCCGTTCCTCTCGTTCTGCCATTTCTACTTTGAACTGAGCCAATTGGGCGGCCAGTTCCTGCTGATGCTGTCCATTGAGCTCTTGAAGCTGCTTCCTAGGAGGGTATGGATGAGTAAAGAGGACTGAGATTGGAGAGAGAAGATGCGATCAGTGAGAAGACAGAATGTGAAGGAGATGGGGTGACAGTGAGTCTTCTGGACTGGCTACAGCACAGCAAAAGGTAAGAACAAAGCTAGGGTCTCAAGATGAACTTCTCAAGATGACATGAAGACTTAAGGGAAAGTGACTTATTTAAGAAGCATTTGCAGTAGGGGCTGGGAAGGTGGCTCAGTGGTAGAGTGCTTGCCTTGCATGCATGAGGCCCTGGGTTCGATTCCTCAGCACCACATAAGCAGAAAAAGCTGGAAATGGTGCTGTGGCTCAAGTGGTAGAGCACTAGCCTTGAGCTGAAGAGCTCAGGGACAGTGCCCAGGCCCAGAGTTTAGGCACCATGACTGGCAAAAAAAAAAAAAAAAAGAAGCATTTGCAGAAAGTGGTGAGGAATGTGGGGGGAGGGGCGCAGAGGAGCACTTCACGAAGGTTACTCCCACAGAGCAGCTCTAGAGATGGCTCAGCTTCCACCTCAGCAAGGGACTGGAGGCCCCATAGACCTATAGCCTTCAGTTCTCAGTTACAGGCTATTCCTGTGGGAAGAAAATCCTCAGGACATCTGGCTCTCCATGAGCACCTGATGGCAGCACTCCTAAGAGGGATTAAGGTCCTGGCTGATGGGAGTGAAAGTATACCCTGGGAGCAAGTGGCTAGAAAATAGCAAAGGGCTTTGAACACGTGGGCAATGCTCACTGCAACCTAAGAAGTCCCAAGTACCTGTGTTGCTCCCTCAGGGAGGCTGCCTGCCGCAGGCTGTTCTCCTGCACCTGCGCCAGCCGCTCTGTCACCTGCTGCTCCAGCTGCACAGACAGCTCTGACTCCATCTGGATCCGCTGGCTGTCATACCGGGCCTGGGAGTGAAGGAGGTTGGGATGGCAGTCAGTTCAGTACTGTCTAGGCTGAGAAGAGGACTGAGGATGTAATATGGACAGAACCACAACTAACATTCCCTGAATCTGCCTAAGGAATGAAGAGTAAAAATTGTAACCTAAGTCCTCTTTCTTACTAAACCATGATGTACACACACCTTATATGTACATACAGGTGAAAACTACTTGGGACAAAATATCAGCCCAAGGAAATGTGTTTAGGCAGAGCAATCAAATCATGTGTCTGAGAGAACATATGTAGTTATCCTTAGCAAAATACTTGAAATCCAGTAAGAAGTCCATAAATGTCAGTGTCTTTTGCTTTATAAGCAGAGTACATCCATAACTACTATCTGCTATATTTCATGACCAAGGTCTAACTAATTTGACTTTGAGATTTACTTAGATGGAAAATGTTTTCCTAAGTCTAATTGTATATTAAAAACAATGTTGAGCACTATACTATACCAGGCTATGAACACCATCGTGCCTTCCTGGATCCCCAACCTATATAGAGGACTTAACCCAAGTCATTAATGAATGTTACAAAGCAGACTGTCACTGTTGGAATCAGGTCTCTGACTAAAACCTTCACCTGCTCATATAATCTATGCAATTAAGTGTAGTCTCATCTTTTTTAAATTAACATGAGGCTGGTGACATGGCTCAGAGGTCAGAGTACCTGCCTAGCAAGTGTGAGGCCCTGAATTCAAACCCTAGTATCACACACACACACTCACACACACTCACACACACACACACACACACACACACACAAACACACACACACAAATGATAATTTTAAAAATTAAGTAAAATAAAATAACATGAGCTATCTTCAATCAATTTAAGTCTATATACTCTTAAGGTTGCCCTACCTTAGTCTGCATTGTGGGAAACTGTTACCTAGAGATAAATGATTGAGTTTACAAGAGAATATTACCAAATAACACACAGAAGCCACTGATGGAATCAACTCAGAATACCTGAGATGGGAGTATCTTCTGTGACTGCCTCAGCCCTGCTTTTCTCAACCAGAAAAAAATAAACAAGAGGACTCTGCCTGCTGACCTGAACCAAGCTCATTTCCAGCTGCAGGGCATCTCTTTCTCTCCGAGCTGTGTCCAGCTCTCCTTCCAGACGCCGCACCTCGGCCTGCACCAGCGCCAACTGTTGCTGGACCTCCCGGGCTGCCTGGGCCTCCCTCTGACTGTTCCCCTAAGAAAGAGAATGCAAACATAAATGCAAGCCTCACCTCCTAGCTCCTGGTTACCTCTGTTCTTCAATGCATCCTCTGGTGACATAAATAAAGCCCAAGCTTCCTTTTTCTCTTGTCCCAAAGATCGTATTTTCCCATCCTGGTTTAATGTTACGCATTACCCCCATCCCTTCCAGCTAGACCAATACGCCCTCACCTTTAGCTCTTCACTCTCTATATATCATACATATATTCTAATATCTCATCCCATTCCCAACTCTTCCAAGCACCACTTTCACCTTTTCCCTTTCCAACTGAGCCTGGCTTTCTTCCTGCAGTGCTTGGTGGCGTTCCTTTAGCTGGAGCTCTTGCTGGGCCCAAGCCTGCCGCTCTTCTTCTAGGGCAACCTGAAGAGTCTCCAACTTCCGGAGCTCACTGAGCTGCCCAGCACGAGCCTCATCCCGTTCGTCCTGCAGGGCACGGCACCGCTGCTGCTCTACCTCCAAGCTCAGGGCCAGAGCTTGCCTTTCCTCCTCCTAAAGCACCAAGAGAAAACAAGGATTTCTTTTTCTCTCCCTTAAGGGTGCTGAGACTCATTCTTGTTAGGCTGTGCTCTACTACTTGAGCTATACCCTCAGACTCACTCTTCCCAAACTCCAAATTTTTAATAAGCATTCAAGAGATCAGCAACTCACCACCACCACGCCTATACAATATGCCCACTGAGGTTTATGACAGTGAAGAAACATAGAAGATTATAATAGAGTAGGTAAGAATTCCTAACCCAAGCTGGGCACTGGTGGCTCATGCTTGTAATCCTAGCTATTCAGGAGGCTGAGATCTGAGGACCGAAGTTTGAAGCCAGCCCCGGCAGGAAGTCTATAAAACTCTTATCTCCAACTAATTACAAAAAGCCAGAAGTAGAAATGTGGCTCAAATGGTAGAGTGCTAGCCTTGAGCAAAAGAAATTTACGGACAGAGCTTAGGCCCTGAGTTCAAACCACAAGACCAGCACCAAAAAAAAAAAAAAAAAAACCCAAACAACAACAACAAGAAAAAACTCCTATCCTAGAGTTAGATGGATAGGATTCAAACTAAAGTCTGAATCCTAGTTCTGTCATTAATTTATGCTGTGGTTTTCTTGTTTTTGTTTTTGAATCAGGGTCTCCATATGTAGCCTGGGATGGTCTCAATCTCACTATCATTTTGCCTTAGCTTCCTAGGTTCTGAGATTACAGGGCTGTATCATCATGCCCAGCTTATTATGTATTTTTAAGCACGTTTCTTTATCTGTAAAGTAACAGGGTCTGCCTTTTCAGGATTAAAGTGAAAAGCATAGAAAATACAGTTAGCAAAGTGTCTGGCACATACTAAGTACTCAATACGCAATAACTATTATCATAATTATCAAAAGAAATTCCGCAAAGACTGGAAAATCCAACCTATAGCCAGGAGCTAGACAAAAAAAAAAAAAGAAAGAAAGAAAATTGCAGGCCAGTCTGGGTTACATAGCTAAACCCTTTTTCCAAATGCAAACAAACAAACAAAACTTACATCTGGGTGAGCTAGGGATGTGTAGCTCAGTGGTAAAATACTTGCCTAGAATGAGACCCTGGGTTTCATCCCTAGTACCACAAAAAATAAAATAAAAAAATACCACCACCACCACGAACAAAAACCTTTAACTTTGAGGGGTGGGTTCCAGAAGTTTATATTTTAAAATAATTTTCTAGATGGTTCTATCACTCTATTGAGGTCGACATTTTCAGCCTCTCAAAACTTATCTGATGCCACTAAATGTATAAATGCCTACTGTCTACCAATAGCCCATAGGTCTCTAGAAATGATTAACAGCTGCCACTGGAATTACCAGTGATTCATTCTCAGTGATCTCTGTCTTCTTACCAGGGCCTCTTGCTCCCGATGCTGTAGTCTGGCTCCTTCCTGTTCACGAGTCAGAGCCTCCATAGCTTCAGAAAGACTTTGCTCTAGACGGGTTACTGTCTTTCAGGAGAGAGAAACACAGGACAAAGGAAGTGAGAAAAAATAACTCTACTTCAAAAACAATTCACAACATAAACTTGATACTTCCTGGGGCTGGGAATGTGGCTCAGTGGTAAGGTGCTTGCCTAGCATGAAGCCCTGGGTTCAATTCCTCAGTACCACATAAACAGAAAAGGCCAGAAGTGGTGCTGTGGTTCAAGTGTTAAGAGTGCTAGCCATGAACAAAAGAAGCTCAGGAATAGTTCCCAGACCCTGAGTTCAAACCTAAGGACTGGCCAAAACAAACAAACTTGATACTTCCTGGCTAACAACTAAATGAGAGACTTCATGTTGTGGGAAAAACTGGGAAGTCATCAAGGATACCAATCGAACAATAGAAATAGTGAAGGGAGAAGGAAGGAAGGAAGGAAAAGAAGAGTTGTTAGGACAGCTACTGCAAAATAGAGGTCAATCTTTTGGAAAACCTAATTCCAGAGCTATTTCTGCCTCTTTCCATCTAGAATTCTGCATATGATCCAGGTTACCTACCTCCTGCTGCTTGCTTCTGGTGAGTTCTGCTGCCTGGCGCTCCTCTTGAAGTCCTCGAAGTACCTCTGTTCGTTCAGCTTCATGCCTGTTCCAGCCTTCCACCACTCGAGCAAGGGTCTCAGGAAAGGCAAGTTAAGGCAGAATTTCAAAATAATCTTCTCCCAACAGTCAGTAAACCAACCACTTATCCCAGCTCTTAGTATGCACAAAAGGGGTTGGCTACCCCTTTTGCTTACTATTCCTTAATGCCTTCTATGAAAAGACCCAACGTTTTTGGGCACCCTGGTACCTTGTCCAGTTGTTCAATCATGATATCTTTCTTGCGGTCTGCAGCCACAGCTACTGCTAACTGCTGTTGCAGCTCTAGCACTCGGGTCTGCAGGCTCTGAATGTGGCGCTCACAATGCTGAGAAGAAGGGACAAGAGTATGGATGCTGGCCGGGCACTGGTGGCTCAAGCCTGTAATCCTGACTATTCAGGAGGCTGAGATCTGAGGATCGCGTTTACAAAGCCAGCCGGAGCAGGAAAGTCAATGAGACTCATCTCCAGTTAACTCCAGAAAACTAGAAGTGGCGATGTAGCTCAAGTGGTAGAGCACTCACCTTGAGCTGAAGAGCTCAGGGACAGCACCCAGGCCCAGAGTTCAAGCCCCACAACCGACCAAAAAAAAAAAGAGAGAGAGTATGGATGCTACCCATCTATAATCCAACCACAGTGTCTAGCCTTCCAACTCCTCTAGGGGGTAAAGGGCTGCAGAAAGGGAGCCTGGGTCCCAAGAACAGAATCAGTTTAGAGAGTTAAGACAATCAGCATATTCTGGGGCAGAAACCTTGAGGCCCAAGACCTGAAACACAAATTCTTCTTCCATCTCAGGAAATAGATGCTTAGCTTCTGGGTTCTTCCCTTAAGTCAATCTCCTGAGAAAACTTCCCAAAAACCTTTGCAATAAGGGCAGTAGCCCACAATGTTACTCTTACCTGAAGGAGCTCATTGGATACAATGATTAAACACAGCAAAGATAAGAGAGACAAGTCTTCGTGTCCAAATGGTTTAAAATATGAGAAGAGAGGGTGCCAAAAATGACAAATACTGGTTCCAACTTTTCCTTGACCTTGTCCATTTGTCTACCCTTTAAATATAAAGGCTGATGCTCATGAGATAAGGATTTATTTTACCACTAGTAGCTGTAAAGGTGCACGAGCCAGAAAGTTTCATTCAACAAACACTTATGGGATGTTTATATGTACATTCTAGACCTTAGGGTAAAAGTAGTGATCCTTGGGGAGGGGAGTTTAAATTGTTTTTTAAAGAGAGAATCAACCAGATATATCAGCAGGATACATTATATAGGGATTGAGAATGACATCAGGATGGCCACAAGTCCTCCCCAGCTTTCAGGTTCTTATCCCTTAGCCCTTTCCAGTGCTCTGTTCCCTATTTCTAATCTTGGCTGCTTTCAGAAGAAAGCCTTTGTATCTCACCTTGCGACGGGTATGCTCTGAGTCCAGTGCCTCTCTCAGCCCTTGAAAATCTGGTGGGTTAAGTGGGGGCCCTGTTTGAAGGCTGGTATAGCGGGGAAATAATTCCTCCAGGGCTTGGGCAGAGCTGGATGGAGATAAGTCTTGCAGAGGCCGGGTGCTGAGCAAATCAAGTAAAGAGAATGTTAGGGTTGAGAAAGCCTTTAAGAGCCACTATTCTTACTGTTGTATTACAAGTGAGGAAACTGGGACCTCAAAGGGACAAGAGATTTGCCCAAAATCATAAGGTTAAGTAGTAACAGAGCCATAAACAGCACCCTAGGCCTGTGATTCACTCTACAATGTTCTTCCTCTTCCATGCTGCTCTAATATACTAAGCAGAAACAAGCTAACTTCTTCCAGGTGAAGAAGGATTGATGGTAAGAAAATCTAGGTACTACTTAAAAGCCACTCTATAGGTTCTAGAAGAGAGCAAAAGAGAAAAAGATGAGAACTGAAAGCTAAGCAACAGCCTTCTTAGCTCCCTAAGAGGTAAATAAACAGGAGAGCACTAAGGAGTAGAATAAGTGGATTTCTAAGATAGTGAGAATGCATTAAGAATCCAAGGAGAACTCACTTGAGCAAAGTAGCTGTGCTTTCACTGTCAAAGGAGTCGTCGTCTCGTCTTTCTGGGCCAGCTCCTGAAGTGAGGGGAGCCCCTGCACACAGCCCAAGGGATCCCATATCCAGAGTCAGGTAAGGACAGGAACAGGGATCATTTGAAGAAGAGAGAAGAGGTCCTTCCTTTGGACTTCCTCCATTCCCTTCCTCTCACGTCTCTTCTCTCAGAAATCCAGGTTTTCCTCCCTGCTTTCCTTCTCCACTGTCTCCCACTCTTACATCTAGGCTCTCCTTCAGAGCTCTTAGGAAGGGGCTTACTCACGGTAGGCCATATCACGTGAGGTTTGGAGCATGGTCTGGAGCTGACCCCGAACACTTTCCATCTCGAAGATATGCTTGGAACCATCCTAGAAAAAAAGTCCCCTGGAAATCAGATGCAACCTATATACCATCCTAGCTCTGCCTACTGCAGGGGTAGGATTTTTATTCTGGTCCTGAGAAAGTAAAAAAAAAATAAAATGGATCCAATAAGGGATGGTTTAACTTTAAACCAAAAATTCAAATACCTACAGAAGCCAGAATGGAGAACAAAAGAATCAAGTAGGCACGTAAAGGCAATGGTAGGGAGATTCAACTAAAGAAGCCCCTAAACATCCTTCCATCCTTCATTCTTTTTTTTTTGGCAGTACTAGGGATTGAACCCAGGGACTTTACACTTACCAGGCAAACACTACTGCTTCAGCACCCAGACCAGAGATGATCTTTCTCCTATCCAATATGAATAACAGGTTTCTCTACCATTGATTATACTACTGGCATTTTGTTGTTTTGTTTTACCATTTGTGAGGCTTAAACTTCAGGCCTGGACACTGTTTCTGAGCTTTTTTGCTCAAAACTAGAGCTCTACCTCTTTGAGAAACAGCTCCACTTCCAGTTTTATGGTGATTACCTGGAGATAAGAGTCCCATGGAAGCTGGGCGCCGGTGGCTCACGCTTGTTATCCTAGCTACACAGGAGGCTGAGATCTGAGGATTTCGGTTCAAAGCCAGCCTGGGCAGGAAAGTCCGTGGGATTCTTCTAGTCTTTTTTTTTGGGGGTCCGGTCGTGGGGCCTGAACTCTGGGCCTGGGCGCTGTCCCTCAGCTCTTCAGCTCAAGGCTAGCACTCTACCACTTGAGCCACAGTGCCACTTCCGGCTTTTTTCTTTTTGCTTATGTGGTGCTGAGGAATCGAACCCAGGGCCTCATGCATGCAAGGCAAGCGCTCTACCACTGAGCCACCTTCCCAGCCTAGTCCATGGGATTCTTAACTCCAATAAACCACTAGTAAACTAGAAGTGGCTGTGGCTCAAGTGGTAGAGCGCTCACCTTGAGCTGAAGAGCACAGGGACAGCGCCCAAGCCCAGAATTCAAGCCCCACAACCGACAAAAACAAACAAACAAACAAAAAAAAACAAGAGTCCCGTGGGCTTTCCTGCCTGGGCTGGATTTGAACTGCAATCTTCAGATCTCAGCCTAGGTAACTAGGATTACAGGCATGAGCCACCAGCACCCAGGGATATATTGTTTTTAATCATTTGCATACCATTTTTTTTGTGATCCTGGGGTTTCAGCTCAGGGCCTTGAGCTTTCAGATAGGCACTCTACCACTTGGGTTGCATAAATGATACAGTTGTAATGATTTGCAAGCCAATTTTTTATTTGCAAGCTGTTTTTTCAAAACAGCTTTGAACTTAAAAGATCCTATTTTGCTGCTGTACTTAAATCCCTTGTTCCCTCTTGGGACCAAGTAACCTTATCCACACTCTCTTAACCAGGTCCCAAGTCTCAGAACACCAACCTACCCCACAGTACAGGTGACAATGGCAGAAACGACAATAACAACAAAAAATGAAACAAACAAAAACACCAGGAAGTTTAAATTTCCCAAATTACGTTGTTTCAGGTCATTCTGTCCCATCATAAACATTTGCTCCCAGCAATAAGCTTGCAGACCTGTCTGTGTGCTTTAAAAGGAAACTGACATCCAACAATAGTTTAAATCTCAGAAAAGCTAATTTGCAATCCCAAGACCCTGAAGCCTAGTACCCTAGAAGTCCGCAGAGACACATCTCCCTCACCTTTTTCTTCAAGTTGTTCTCCAATCCAACTGACAAGCTGCGACTCAGCTCTTGAGCCAAGCCATCAAATGCCTCATGAGGAGGTGGGGAAGAGGAGGCTAAATACATCTGAGCTCTAGCAGTAGCCTCGGCCTGCCGGCTGAGGTGCAAAGAAGCATAGAGCTGGGAAGTCACCTCAGAGGACACTTGGTTGAGCCCAGGGGGCTCTGATGAATCACTCAGGAGATCTTCTGCTCGAAGAGGCGAACTGGGACTAGCAGTGGAGGTCGCCATGAGTACAGGGAAGAAAGGCTGCTAACTTTTGGTTCAGGTTTGGGAAAGGCCAGGGTGGGGTAAGTTCACAGAGAAGGAAGGTTTGAGAGAAGGGAGGAAGACTCCTTGGTGAATAAGTATATCAAAAGTTTCTGGATAAAGTTTCCACCAGCTCCAGAAGCCATGTAGAAGGCAAAGGCATGCCTTTTCCTCAACTCTTAGGAACCGTGGAAAACGGGATGCGAGGAGCAGAGGGGATGTGGACAAAAGACCTGTTGAGGCAACAGCAAGGCTGCAATTCCTCTTCGCAACTAGAGTGCAGGACGCTGCAAGTCAATTTCGGCACGGGCTCACTCGGGTTAACTAGTCTTACCCGTCCTCTCATCCAGAACGTGCACACGGGAACGGACCCCAATTTAACCCGGGGCCTAGCCTAGTCAGTCCTTCAGCTGCTCGCTCCAGGCTCGGGAGAGGCCGAACCTTACGCCACGCCCCTCCTCCCACTCCACTGGTTCCACCCAGAGTCCACTCTTTTATAGAGCCCCTTCATCTCGCCACAGCAGGGATCCCTGGAATACCTCCCTCCCTGCGCCCCTCCCCCAAAGAACCCTGGAGAACCCTCGGTCACATCCTCAAATGTCCCCAAAATGCACCCCTCTCTCGTCTACCCTGAGGAGACCGCCCCGCTCCCACCACCGTCCTCGGCGCACCTTGAGTCTGCTGCCTCCAACTTGCCAAGGGAAGGGAGAGAAACTACCCCCACTCCCCAGAGCCTGGACCAGGAAAGATCAAGACCCCACCCGCCCGCAGCCCTCCCCACTCAAAACCGTTGGCAGCTTCCAGCCCACCTCCTGCAGCCCCGCCTCTCGCGCCTCGATGACGTCATCCGCCCGCGAGACAACGCTCGCAGCAGCCCCCAGGCGTCAGGAGCCTAGGTGCGCGTGCGCAGCTCTGGCGGTCATTGATTGGTTGAAGAAGGAGTTTGACAGTGATATTGGGGCGGGGTTAATGCGCCGGCTTAGCAGTTCGGCTACTCCAGAGGGACGGGTTTGCTCAGACACCGGAAGTAGCTTCTCACCCGCATTCGGAGGAATTCCGGTGAGTGCAGCGTGGGGGTCCCCGTCTAGTTGAAGGGATCTGGAATCGGAGAATACGAGCTTACAGCGAGGTTCACACACTGTGTTCTGCAGATGACTGTCCACAACCTGTACCTATTTGACCGAAATGGCGTGTGTCTGCACTACAGCGAGTGGCATCGCAAGAAGCAAGCGGGGATCCCCAAGGAGGAGGTGACCGAAGGGCTCTAGTGCAGTGCGGGTGACCTCGCATCTCCAAACGCACACAGTCCCAAACCAGCCTCTCCTCCTCCAAAGCCCGGCTCGTTCCCACCCCAACCCGTCTGGATAGCCTCCCAACTGTCCAGACCTAATTCTGCCCCCTCTCCCTCCAGGAGTACAAGCTGATGTATGGGATGCTCTTCTCCATCCGCTCCTTTGTCAGCAAGATGTCCCCGCTAGACATGTACGCCGTGTCAAGAGGAGATGTTGAGAGGACGGCTAGTCTGGGGGAAGGGGAGGATTTTGTGGGGAGAGGGGTTATTTCCTGGAATAAAAGGGGTTTTGGTCCCCAGATAGGGATAAGGGGACTTATGCTGAGTCCATTGCAGGAGGAGTCCTGAAGCTGGCAGGAGTGGCAGTAGGGGAGATCTGAAAGTAAAGAAGTTGAGGGCGGGGACAAAAATTGAGGGGAGAAGCCGAAGCGTTAGTGGCTCACTCCTATATTACTAGCTACTCAGGAGGCTGAAATCTGAGGATTGCTGTTCAAAGCTAGCCCGGGCAGGAAAGTCCGTGAGATTCGTATATCCAGTTAACCACCTAAAAACCAGAAGTAGAACTGTGACTCAAAGTGGTGGATCCCTAGCCTTGAGCACAAAAGCTTGGGGACAGCGCTCAGGCCCTGAGTTCAAGCCCCACGACTGAAAAAAAAGGGGGAGGAGGGAGATGTTTTTACTTAACCAGACTCCTGCAACCATCTGTTTAGACGATCTGGGAGAGACTTTGAGGGGACAGAAGTATTTCTTGGGAGAGATTCCACTGTTATCTTTAACTTTCCTCGTTTCTGCAGGAAGGATGGCTTCCTGGCCTTCCAGACTAGCCGTTACAAACTCCATTACTACGAGACGCCCACTGGAATCAAAGTTGTCATGAATACTGACTTGGGTGTGGGACCCATCCGAGATGTGCTACATCATATTTACAGTGCGGTCAGTGTTAGCTGGAACAATCCTCCCACCACATCCCCTTAGCCATCCCCTTAGCAGCCACAGTCAGAGCCCAAGAGTACTTCAGGTTTCTTGCCTTAATCCTATTGTGTTGCACCTCTGTTGAACTCAATTTTCTGTAGGATCTTTTTTTTTTTTTTTGTCAGTCGTGGGGCTTGAACTCTGGGCCTGGGCGCTGTCCCTCAGCTCTTCAGCTCAAGGCGAGCGCTCTACCACTTGAGCTACAGCGCCACTTCCGGTTTTCTGGTGGTTTATTGGAGATAGGAGTCTCACGGTCTCTCCTGCCCGGGCTGGCTTTGAACCGCGATCCTCAGATCTCAGCCTCCTGAGTAGCTAGGATTACAGGCGTGAGCCACCAGCGCCCGGCTTCTGTAGGATCTTAGGTCCTTACGCACTCCACTACCAGTTTCTCCTAAGAGAGATCTTCCTCCTAGCCCTGTTTCTTTGTGCATTCATACACTCTTAAGGTTATACTAAGTCTGGGGCTGAAAAGGAAAGAGTCTAAAGTCTGGTTCTTTCATTCTTCTGCTCCACAGCTGTACGTGGAATTGGTGGTGAAGAATCCCCTGTGCTCTCTGGGCCAACCCGTGCAAAGTGAGCTCTTCCGCTCCCGGCTGGACTCTTATGTCCGCTCTCTGCCCTTCTTCTCCGCCCGAGCTGGGTGAAATACTCAACTTCATCTCTGAGAAGAATCCTTGACAGCATGGGGCCCCTTCTAACTTGGGGCGCCGTCAACCCTACCAATCTACCCTCCTCCCCAGGCTTCCGTCTTAACCCCCCTTCCCCCAGTCACAAAATTGAAGACCACAGGAGTCTATATCTGCAATCCAACCTCTCTTTCCAGTTTTATACTTTACTCGATGCTGTGAAAACACAATAAACTTTTCAGCAGCCCAGTGTCTAAATTTCAGTGGGCTTTCCTGGTCCTGCCCCACACCAAGGCCTAGTAACTGGGGAATTCACACACCCCTTGAATCTTGCAGAGGTTTTTTTGCCTTTGGGTTTCTCAACAAGCAGCACTGTTAACATTTTTACCTGGATAATTATTTGTTGTGTTTTGTAGGATTTTAGCAGCAACCTTTGCTGCCACTCTGGAGATTTGGTACTTCCCTCCTCACTACCAGTCATGACCATCAAAATGCCTCCAAACCTAGTCTCCTGTCTACTGAGGGATAAAAATCTGTCCCAACTGAGAATCACTGGGCTGGGAAAGGCTGACATGCCTCGTACCCAGAGGGTGTGAGAACCTAGCTCCCAAGAGCTGATCTCATCTCTGAGAATACAGAATTTTCAAGCCGGGAGAGCATCCTAGCAGGCGGGGCTTAATGCAGACAGCGGCGAGTTTGGGTGGGTGGCGGGAGGCCCTATGCAGATGAGGGGGCGGGGCCTGCATGTTGATGAGCCGGGCGGGCTGCGGACGCGGCTGGAGCCCCGCGGGTCCCGCAGCGGTTCGGACTGAAGTGGCATCTGTCTCCCGTCACCCTTCCTCCCTGGCTCTTTATCCTCTGAGGACCGCCTCGACCTTCATCCTTACCCATTTCCCCCTCCTACACCCTGCACTTGCGCCCTCAGTGTTCGAATTCCTCAACTGCTGCGCCCCCCGCGTTTCTCCCTTCCCGCCGCAAACCCCGCGACCTCCAGCAGACCGCCCCCGCGGTCGCGATCCTGCGTGGCGGATCCCACCGCGTCCTCCTCAGCTTTCCCGCTCTCCCGAGGATCAGCCCACTACAACGCCGGTGCCTGCGCCGGGGCTCCCCTGCTCCATCCCCCGCCCCCTCGGAGCCCCCTCCACCCCCCTGGCCGGCCAGCATGCAAGTGTCAATCGCGTGTACGGAGCAGAACCTTCGCAGCCGGAGCAGTGAGGACCGTCTGTGTGGACCCCGGCCGGGCCCCGGGGGCGGTAATGGCGGGCCAACCGGAGGGGGGCACGGGAATCCTCCAGGGGGTGGAGGGTCGGGCCCCAAGGCCCGAACTGCACTGGTCCCGCGCCCCCCAGCGCCTGCTGGGGCCCTCCGAGAGAGCACCGGCCGAGGCACTGGCATGAAATACAGGTACGGGGTGGCCGGGCAGCTTGCCTGTCCGCTCTCCTTTTGGGACCCCTGAGGTTTATTGGGGCGGCAGCCAAGACCCCTTCAAACTTCACTAACAAGGTTCCCGCTAGTTCCACCTTTCCTTTCTGACACCATTACTCCGTTACTTGGCCCCTCGCTTGGTCTCCGCTAATACCCCCTGACTGTGAGAGGATCAAGTTTAACCAAGGTTGATGGAGTCCCTTTCGGTCCCCTGAGCCTCACTCCCCAGGGATCTCTAGGCTGCACCTGCCTCCAGCGGAGTGTCCTTGGGACGGCGTCCTGGGGAGAGGAGGGAAGGAAAATGCTTCTCACTCTGGCCTGCTCCCCGGTGTCTGACCCAAATAATGCCCCCACCTGCCCCCGAGAGCCGATCTCTTTCGACCTTTCAGGGTGGCGTGGGGGAGGGGCAGCTAGGAGAGTGGGACTTGTGGGGAGGATAGTACACATGCTTTCTCCCCCGGTGCAGAATGATGGGAGCTACAAGGAAAAGGTGGTCAGAAAGTTGACCAAGTGTGCGGGCGAAGGCTTTCCGAATAAACAGTAGAGGGAAGACGGAGTCTCTTGCAAGGGAATGAGTTGTGGTCATGGATCTGATCCCCACCATGTGGAAGAGCTGATGAGGAAATTGAGCCAACCACTTGATTGGGGCGCTATTGGAGGAATGGGGGAATGGGAGGGGGAGAAGCTGCCCCAGAGACAGTCTTCACAAGCCAATGGAGAAGAAGAGGGAGAACTAGGCTTCTCTTTCATCCTTTTCCCCCAGGCTACCTATGTGCCTATTTGCTAGAGGCACATCTACCCAATCTAGGCAGGGACCTTTGTCTCAGTGTCTGAACTCAACTTTTCTACCCCGATGTCACTCTTCAGTGTGGCATTCTCTGACTAAGGGTCACAGTAGCCAGCCACAATTCCTGGAACACACTACTCCATTCATACCAGTGAAAATTCACAGACAAGATGTCACCCAGATAAAAAGCAAACAAGACAACACCTCTTCAGTGCTATTGGAGGGAGTGGAAGCATTGAACAGTAACACTGGAGGAACTGTTATTTGTCTACTCACTTGTTCTTTTAACAATATTCCTCGGGTCTTTGCTACAGAGATAGGAATATACAAATCCCAAAGGTCCATTAGGTGTTTGGTTTTTTTTTTTTTTTTTTTGTACTGAGCCACCCGGAGGGCTTCTTAGTCTGTAAGTAAAAGCCCCAGATAATCTAGATCCTTAATGGAGTCTTCACCCTTTCCTACTGCTTCTGTGTCCTACAGGAACCTAGGAAAGTCGGGTCTCCGAGTGTCCTGTCTTGGCTTGGGTGAGTAAGAATAGGAATTAAGTGAATGGGGATATTTCTTAATGGCCTACCTCCCACATTTCTGATATGTTTGGCTTCTCTTTTGCAGGTACCTGGGTCACATTTGGTTCTCAGATCTCAGATGAGGTATAAGTGATGGGACCTAGAAAGAGTAAGGGTAGATTTGGTAAGGGAATCAGAAAGGGGGAAATGGACTGGATAGGGGTTTGGACAACCATGGGAACTGTCTGACAGATGAAAAAAAGGGAACAAGTACAGAAACCAGGGCGGAGGTGTCATGCGTTTGAGTGCAATGAGAGAGGGAACTGAGGACAGTGGTTGATCTTCAACTCTTTCTCTTGCTTCTTTAGATAGCAGAGGATGTACTGACAGTAGCCTATGAGAATGGTGTAAACCTGTTTGACACAGCTGAAGTATATGCAGCAGGAAAGTAAGGACTGGGGTGAAGGGCTAAGTTACATTTTTAAGTCTTACAGACTTCTTGTTTCCCTCTAAAGAACCCTGTGAATTCTGGGAACACAAAGGCCCAACCAGTTAGCTCATGGGCCCCCAGAGCATTATGGGAGTTGTAGTTCCAATATCAATCCCTTCGGCTTAGATGTCAATAGACATACTACTGTGCATTCACATTAAATAAAACCAAAATACATCATGGACATAAGTTATTCACTGCTTCCTGAGAATTATAAAGCTAGATTTGGGAAGGGTACTCAGGACCTCATGATGGCTAGACTAGTTAATGCTTTACCACTTGAGCCCAACCTCTTTGTTTGCTTTTTAAAATTATTTTTCTGGGAAGGTCTCACATTTTTGTCCAGGGCTGGCCTCAGATTCTCCTACCTATGCTGGGATCACAGGCACATACTAACACAACAGCTTTTTGTTTGAAATGGTCTCAGTAACTTGTTGCCTAGGCTAGTCTCGATCTTCTCCATCCACCAAAGTAACTGGGATTACTGATGTGGACCATTGGCATCAAAGCTAGATTTTCAAATACACTACACATGGCTTCCTACTGGGGGTAGCAAAAACTTAGGATGGGCTGCATAGAAAATAGTTTTGGCTCAAGTCTTGACCCAAATATCAGCTCCTCCAAACAAATCTTTGCCCAACTCCCCAAAGTTGATCACAACCCTTTATGAGCTTCTAAAGTACTTTCTACTGCCTTCTGACACATAGTTAATGACTGGTTTATTCAGCTATATTTGCTGTTCAAACCATAGGCTTCTTTCTCCATGCAGTTTGTCCTCCTCTTCCCAAAAAGTCTTCTTATATCCTAGCTAAGAACAGACATTGCTTCTGGGATGAAATCAGCAAGCTCCTTAAAAGCACACAGTCTAGCCAGGTGCTAGTGGCTCATGTCTGTAGTCCTAGCTACTCGGGAGGCTGAGATCTGAGGAACCCAGTTTGGAACCAGCTCAGGCAGATAAATCTGAGGGACCCTTATTTCCAATTAACCAGCAAAAAGCTGGAAGTGGAGTTTCAGCCTTGAAGCAAAAAATTAAGCAAGAGTGTGAGGCCCTATTTCAAGCCCCAGTACCAGCAAAACAACAACAAATGACAAGAAATATGAAAATTTAAACAATAGTAAAATGTCTTAAAAATAGTTCATCAACAATTTGAAATGTCACAAGTTAGTTCATAATATTGTACTAAGGAATTTATATGTTAAATTGGGCATGGTGGTATACACCAGCAATCAGGATGCTGAGTCAAGATAATTGCTAGAAGCCAGCTTGAACTATGTAGTAAAATCTTGTCTCAAACATTCAGACAAAAATTTTTAACAAATTCTATGGAACCTGACAGGAAGGAATGACCATAAACTAGCAATCAAAAAAATATTTCAAAGCCAGGTGCTGGTGCCTCATGCCTGCAATCCTAGTTACTAAATTCTGACAATTTTGGTTTAAAGCCATCTTGGGCAGACATAACTAAAGAGATTCTTATCTCCAATTAACCAGCAAAAAGCTGGTAGTGGAGGTGTGGCTCAAATGGTAGAGTAAAAGCCTTAAATGAAAAGGCAAAAGAGCAGTGTGCAGGCCCTGAATTCAAGCAACAGTATTGTTACAAAAGGAGTGGGGGGGGGGGGGGGGGGAAGGGGAGAATGAACATGTTATGAGCTTAGAAATATGAGTTTGATTTTGCAGAGAAGGGGAAGGACAACCCATATTTTATCCCATTAATATCTACACTAAGGCTTGGTATATAATTGATACACAATGGTTATTGGCTGAATGAAAGAAAAATATATGATCCAAGACCCTTCTATTTGTTTGGGATGGAGCTGAGAAACCAAATGGGCTCCTGGCTTTTGTTCTACCTTGTAAGAGAGGAAAGGGTAGGGAGGAGGAAAAGGTATTGATTCACCTTGGAGGAGTCACTACTTTTGTCTTGTTTTTATTCCAGGGCTGAAAGAACTCTAGGCAACATCCTCAAGAGCAAAGGTTGGAGGTGAGACTGGGGGGAGGGTTGTTGTAGACATAATCATTCAAAAATTCTTTTCTTGCTGGTATTGTCATTTCTCCTCTTCCAGGAGATCAAGCTATGTCATCACCACCAAGATTTTTTGGGGAGGACAGTAAGTGGCTGCCCTGCTATGTTTGGGGAGAAGACTTAGAATTTATGATGGTGTATGGGATGGGGGTGGAGACCACTGTTTCATACCTGCCATCTGAAGTCTATGTCCTAAGTGGACCCATACAATCTGAGTTCCTCATGGCACCAGACTAGCTCTGGTCTCCTATCTTTGTCATGCCCCATCTTCGACTTACCTTTTTCTACAGGGCAGAAACTGAACGAGGATTAAGCCGCAAACACATCATTGAAGGTAACAAATGGGAAAATGAATTGGATGAGCATGGAAGCTAGAGGAGTTGGAAGCATTCCGGAAGCATTCAACAGGAGGATTTAAGTGGCCATAGCAAAAGGGTAAAGTCTGATTTCTTAGTAGATTAAATCTGAGGTTCTTGCCTTCTCCCCAACTGCAGGCTTAAGAGGATCCCTGGAACGCCTCCAGCTGGGATATGTGGATATCGTCTTTGCCAACCGCTCAGATCCCAACAGTCCCATGGAGGGTAAAAGCTGCACTCCCAAGCCTGATTGTCTTGCAAAACTAGGCACTTCTTCAAAACCTTTAGCAGGAAGCCAGCCCTGACCCAGTCATGGTGGGGCAGGCAGTCTTGTAGATGGGGTTTGACAGTGTGGTTCTCCTTTTCCTGTGTGCCTAGAGATTGTGAGAGCCATGACCTATGTCATCAACCAGGGCCTGGCCTTATACTGGGGGACATCTCGATGGGGTGCTGCAGAAATTATGGTGAGTGTGTGACCTCACTTCCCTCATCCCATAACTAGCTTCCTTATTTCACATAGCTACTCTAAACCCAATCACACTGGAAGAAAGGGGCAAAGGAGGGCTCTAATTGCTGTATCCTCCCTGTTCCAACCCAGGAAGCCTATTCCATGGCCAGACAGTTCAATCTGATTCCTCCTGTGTGTGAACAAGCAGAGCACCACCTGTTTCAGAGGGAGAAGGTAGAGATGCTGATACCTGAGCTCTACCACAAGATTGGTGTGTAACCTCTCATGGCTACCTTTCCCTTGGCCTCACTCATGGCTTAGGTCTCTTTCCCACACCCAGTCCTCTTGCTCTTAGGTGTTGGCTCAGTCACTTGGTCTCCCCTAGCCTGTGGACTCATTACTAGCAAGTATGATGGACGCATCCCAGATACCTGCAGGCCCACCATCAAGGTGAGATTTGAGGGCTCAGGATTGGTAGAACTGGCTGTAGGGGCAGCTGAATGGTGTCAGTGGCAAGCTCTTTTATTGATTCTTCTTGGCCTCCAGGGCTACCAGTGGCTCAAGGACAAAGTCCAGAGTGAAGATGGCAAGAAGCAACAAGCCAAAATCATGGACCTTCTCCCTATTGCTCATCAGCTGGGCTGCACTGTGGCTCAGCTTGCTATAGGTGAGACACTGCCAATCCTGGATGCTGCAGGGGCCCTGTTTACTGCTCCGAACGTATGAACTTACTCTAAGGTTGATGATTGCTAGGAGGGCTCTCTTCTGACACTTTTGAAATCTGTGTGCTCACCGTTCCCTGGTCAGTGCTTTCTCTTCTCTCCCCCTCCTTTGGCTCCAGCCTGGTGTCTCCGCAATGAGGGGGTCAGCTCAGTCTTGCTAGGGGTGTCGAGTGCAGAGCAGCTGATGGAACACCTGGGCGCCCTACAGGTGAGCTGGGTACCCAGCAGAGCGTTTTTTTGTGTCCTTCCCTCAAAAGTCAAGGTCATGCTAAACCAGAATGTCCCTGTGAGGCTTTGCAGGGAAGAGGCTGGTGGCGACAACCAAGGGCACAGCTGTGATTTTCCTTGCCTTTAGACCGCATTGTGGGGCGACCCCATTGTGGGGCGTCCCCAAGTCCTCGCCCTTTCCTTTCCATCCCCTTCCTCAGTAACCCATACTGCCTTCACCACCTATCCTCCTCCAGGTGCTGAGCCAGCTGACACCACAAACAGTGATGGAAATTGACGGACTCTTGGGCAACAAAACGCATTCCAAGAAGTAGTCCGTTGGGGGCGCAGGAGCCCAATCCTGAGTCGCTGCTCCAGCCCGAAACCCGCTCCCCCCCCAACCCGCAGCCGCCCCCGCCCGCTCCGCTCCGCTCCGTATCCTCCCCCCGCCCCCACCCCCACGCAGCGGCCGCGCAGGGGAGCCCCGCCCGCTAACGAGTCCTGGCTTCGAGTAGCGACGCGCATGAATAAAGCCATATCCTTCCGCAGTGGGAGCTTGAGAGAGAAAGTAGTCCTCCCCCCCTCTTCAGCGTCCTTTCTAGGCCTTCTTGCTAACCCTGGGCATGAGCTAAGGAGCTGTCCCCTCTCTGCCATTTGGTCTCGCTCCTTTCTTCTCCTTAGAGCCGAGGCTCGGAAAACACCCAGCAGATACAAGCAATATGCAGAGTACCTCAAAAGTGGCCCTTGAAGTGTCATCAGGGGTTAAGAATTTACCGAGTTGTTAAGTCATCTGGGGCATAGGAAATGGAGCTTTATGTTAGTGGTACAAAAGGAAGCCAGGCTGGTCCTGGCAAGAAATGTTAAGAAACCAAAACTCTGCCTCCCAGCCAGGAGGTGGAGGAAGACTTAAATCTAGCACTAGTGTCATATTTTATGCTTGCAGAGAGGGGGTGAGCCTGGGGAGGACAGAGATCCGCTACTGACCAAAGGTAGAGAAAAATTTGATGTATAGAATGGTCTGGCAAAGTCATAGGATGACCCTTGGGGGGGGAAAGTTGCATAAATTAGTCAACCTTTGGGTTACCAGCACAGACACAGGACTGACAGGCAGATCTATGAAGACAGAATTTTGAGCTTTGAGATGAACTTCCTGACAGTAGAAGAGTGCAGTTTTCCTCCTGGCAATAACCATAAAGCAATAATGATGGCCCCTCTTCTGTAAGATTTCCCAGGGAACTGTAAATAAAATCTCAGCTTGATCCTCACCGTGTCTGTCATTGTAGGAGTTTGGGAGGTTTAGATTACAGTCATATTTATGTGGCCTAGCACTGGGCTCCCTATTATTGGTCACAGACATGAGACTCCTGGTCTGATTTCTCATCAATGACCTAGACTCGCAGCATGAGTCTTTTCCCTTTCTTCCTTTATACTAGTGATCTGGTTTCCTAATTTTGTTGCTTCTCATTTTATGAAAGACTCACAGCTGTCTGACACTCTTGCCTTTTTTGTTTTTGTTTTGTCAGTTGTGGGGCCTGAACTCTGGGCCTAGGTGCTGTCCCTTAGCTCTTCAGCTCAAGGCTAGCACCCTACCACTTGAGCCACAGCACCACTTCTGGTTTTTTTCTGCTTATGTGGTGCTGAGGAATCAAACCCAGGCTCTCATGCATGTGAGGCAAGCATTCTACCACTGAGCCAACTTCCCAGCCCTTTTTGTATGTTTTAGAAGTTATATTTGCCATACTTCTTTGTCCCTTGGGAGAGATCTACACATGTGCCAAGGAACTGAGTAGTTCTGTCATGGCAGAGTAGAAGAGGCCACTGTGAACTGGTGATCTGGTGAAGGAGAGGTGAAGTGCAGACATGTCTGGTGGAGGGGATACAGAAAGAAGGAAAAGGGGTCATAATTTTAAAAGAACAAAAAGAAAAACAACCAGGAAAGATCAGATGTGAAGGTAGCTGAACAGAATCAAATGGAGTTAGATCAGATACTAGCCCCTAAATTCTTCCCCTGAAGGACTCTGATTCCCAGAAGGCAGAAAGTGGGTGTGAAGTAATAACCTTCAAAGATCACAAAGCAGGGGAGGATAAGCTATGCCTTCCCTAAATACAACCTCACCATCTCCCTTCTACCCCTCCTCATCCTGCCTTGATCCTGATGCTGGGAGCACAGAGTAAGACAAATTTCCAAAAGAGAAACCCAAGCAGCATGCCATTTACTGGATTAGCAACCCAACAGGATCAACTAATGAATACTTACATCTGCCCCTATAATCTCCCACTCATTTTGGAAGACTGTGGAGGAAACAAAGAAGTAAAATGTATGACTAAGCTGTGATTAGTTCTGCTGTAACAAACATACAAGAAGAATTTATCAATTCAAAATAGTATTCTCTTTAAATAGTTCTTCTGGAGGGCTATGAACTTTCTGGCAATGCTGCCTCCTCCACCACTCAAGACATTTAAAAACAAACTCTTCTCAGAATTACTTTCTGAGGCAGTTTGGAAGCCCCTGGCAACAGCTTTTATTGTCCCATTTCCTTTTTTGTTTGCTTTTTAAATTTACATTATTTGTATAAAGGATAGGGGTTCATTGTGACATTTCCATACATGAATACAATGTATTCCCCCATCAAACTCACTCCTCTATCACTCCTCCACCCTTTTTTTTTTTTAATTGCCAGTCCCGGGGCTTGAACTCAGGGCTTGGGCACTGTCCCTGAGTTTATTTTGCCCAAGGCTAGCACTCTGCCACTTGAGCCACAGTGCCCTTCCAGCTTTTTCTGTTTATGTGGTACTGGGGAATCGAACCCAGGGCTTCATGCATGCTAGGCAAGCACTCTACCACTAAGCCAACTTCCCAGCTCCCTCCACCAATTTTTTAAAACAATTTCAGTAAGTGTCATGGTTCTATTTTCATATATGCAAATAAACTGCCCCAACCATATTTTTCCTCATTCACCCTCTCCATTACTCCCTCTGATACCCTAGCAGAGCCTTTTTTCTTACCTGTATTTATTTGACTACTTGTTTCATTTCAGTGTATATTAATCATACCAAGAGTACAATTAATACAGTACAGATTGGCAGATCTCCTTTTTATATAAACATTTGCCACATTTCTCACTCACTTCCTTCATGAATTTAACAAGTATTTATTGAATTCTATAATGGTACTGCACAGAAATACAATGACGAACAAAACCAGACAGACTGAGGAGAAGCTTTATACAGTTCACTGAAGGGGGAGATAATCACAAATCAAATACAAACTTCAGTTGACCAAACCCCAGAGGAAAGCATATGGCCTTAAGGGCATTTTTAATAGGCATTTGGCATAGTAAGGCTGCACTCTGAATAGGAGGAGGATGAGTAGATGTTAATCCTCTTGCTTTCACCAGGTAAGGAGAATAGCTATACAAAGACCTTGTGGCCAAAGGGAACATGTAACCTGTATTAGTCAGCTATCTGATGCTGAGACAAAATACACTTTTACCACTTAAAAGGAAGAAAGATTAATTCTAGCTCAAGGTTTTTAGAGATATTTAGTACCTGGTTGCTCAACTGCTTTAGGGCCTGTGGAAAGGCCAAGCAACATGTAAACACACGTGGCAGAAGAGACCTATCACCTCACAGTAACTGCTAGGTCCCAATATTCTCTTCAAGGGCAAGTGCCAATGACCTAACTTCCTCTCACCAGACCCCACCTCCTAGAGCCCTGCCCTGCACCCACCTCTACCATCTGAGGACCAATCCTTCAACACTTGGCCATTGGAGGAAATTTAAGATTCAAAAGGTCTTCAAAGCCACTGTGTCTAAGAAGAGAATTCAAGGCATGATAAAGTCAGAACACATAGCCTTCAGGGAGCTATATAACAGTGTGCCAAAGGCAGAAAGACAGTTGCTATATATGTTATGTATCAACACACAGGAAATACTTTCAAAATGTGGTGATTTAAGGCACTGGTGGCTCATGCCTGTAATCCTAGTTAGGAGGCTAAGATTTGAGGAACTCAGTTTGAAGCCAGCCTAGTCGGGAAAGTCTGTGAGACTCTTACCTGCAATTAATCACAGAAAAAGCCAGATGTGATGTGGTAGCTCAAGTGGCAGAGTGTTAACTTTGAGCAAAAGCAGCTTAGGGACAGAGCCCAAGTCCAGAGTACAAGACCCAGGAACAGCTTAGGGACAGCACCCAGGTCCAGAGATCCAGGCAAAGGACAGGCAAAAAAAAAAAAAAAAAAAGTGGTGACTTAAATAACTTTTAACTTTTCTTTTTTTAGTGTTATACCCAAGGCTTTAACTCAGAGTCTGGGCACTGTCCCTCAGCTTTTGTGCTCAAGGCTAATGTTCTACCATTTTGAGCTACTGGAAGTAAGAGTCTCATGGACTTTCCTGCCCAGACTGGTTTTGAATCTTGATCCTCAGATCTCAGCCTCCTGAGTGCTAGGGTTAGAGGCATGATCCTGACTTTGCTTTTTTCTCCCCCATGATTCTGAGAATTGGCTAGGAGTCTCTCTGCTGTTTTCACCAGAGCTCATTCCTCTGACTACATTCCTGCTGTGCAGGAACACCCAAGTTAGCTTCGCTATGTCTGTAAGTTCACACTGGCCCTTGACTAGGGTGTCTCTGATTTCTTACATAGTGATCTCAAGCCAGCCTTCCAAGGGATAAAAGCAAATGCTGCAAGGTCTCTAAAGGATTGGTTTCACACATCACATCTGCTTTCATACTACTGGTCACAAAGCTAGCTCAGATTCCCTCCCCAAATTGCTCAGGATTTTTGTTGTTGTTCTTTTGGCTTTTGAGGCAAGCCCTCACAATCTTCCAGTCTTAGCCTCTTGAGTGCTAGGATTATAGATTATAGATTTGCACCTCTCCACCCAACAAAACTCCATTTATTTTCTTTCTTCCTTTTTCTCTTTCTTTTCTTTCTTTCATTGTTGTTGGTCCTGAGGCTTGAACTTAGGGCCTGGGAACTGTCCCCTGAGCTTTTTCACTCAAGACTGGCACTCTATCACTTGAACCATGCCTCCATTTCTGGCTTTTTTTCTAGAGATAAGAGGCTTGTGGTCTTTCCTGCCTGGGCTGGCTTCAAACCACAATCTTCAGATCTTAGCCTCCTAAGTAGTTAGGGTTACACTAGTGTCCAGCTAAGACTCTAATCTTTTTTTTTTTCTTTTTTGTCGCTTGTGGGGCTTGAACTCTGGGCCTGAGCGCTGTCCCTCAGCTCTTCAGTTCAAAGCTAGCGCTCTACCACTTGAGCTACAGCGCCACTTATGGTTTTCTGGAGGTTTATTGGAGATAAGAGTTTCACGGACTTTCCTGCCTGGGCTGGCTTTGAACCGTGATCCTCAGATCTCAGCCTCCTGAGAAGCTAGGACTATAGGCATGAGCCACCAGCACCCAGCTAAGACTCTAATTCTTGATGGGAAAAGTATCAAGCTACACTGCATAGGTTTTAGATGGACATGAATAGGTTGGGATTGGGGAAGGTCTTTATAAACAACACAGAGAAAGGCCTGATGAAGTCCAGAGTGCCAATTGGATAGACTGGTTAGGAGACTCTTGTTGGGAGCTTGGACTAAGGTTGTGGACAAAAGGTGGGGATAAGTAGGTGGTTTAGAGAGATAAAATAAGCCAGACTTAGTGATGGGTCAGCAAAGGAACAGAGAGAAGAGGGGTGCCTGGGCTAACATCTAGGGTTTCTGGAATTGGACAAAGGAATGGGTAGCAAGCATTGAATAAAATTCTGGTTTGGACACAGAATCTATTTGGGCTTTTGAAGATACTGTGGAGTGTGTGATGAGAGATACAGACCTAGGTGTTGGGTCAATTGGTAGATTGCTAGCCAAGTGAAAAAGTGCAGAGCTCCAGTCCCAGTCTCAGAACTAAAAAACAAAAAAATGAAATACACAGATCTAAAGCTTAGAGGGGACCCTTAGCTATCAAACACTTTGGAGACATTTATATAATAAAATTACCTTAAAAGATTAAGCTTTACCCCTAGTCGAAGATACTTTAAAATGTGAGGCACATCTTTTCCAAAGAGAAGTTCCTAAAAACTTTTGGATTATGACAGTAATGAATAGGTTCATCCAAGTGGCCATAAAGATAATACGATATCAATGTTCTGAAATGTTTGCTTAAATATAATGGTATGTCTCTCTACACAAGATTATCCCCCAGGTTTTAATAATGCAGTTGAAAGACAAAACATCTCTATCTTACCTATGATAAGCCAGTAAATGCAATGGATATAGAGGAACATAGTCTTGTATTATCTAAAATATGTGTTGGAAATATTGGATACTGAGAGGTTAAAGCAGATACAATATAGGCTGGCAAAGAGCATGATGAAATAGATAACACCTATCTAGTGTTTACTGTGTACCAAGCACCATTCCATATTCAAGTTCTTTCAAACACTACTATTATTATCTACATTGAGTGGATGAGGCAATCAAGGCCCAGAGAAATTAAGTAACTTGCTTGTAATTTCACAATTGCTTGGTGAAGGTTAGGATTTGTATTCAAGTCAGCTGAGCCGAAACTGTGTTATTATTAACCTCCACAACAAAACTTGGGCTACAGGTCGAGGAGAGGGGGGTGAGGAGACAACTGGGTGTGCATGCCACACCATGAGAGAATGTGGACGGTGAATACTACGTCTTGTTTACCAGTGGGGCAACTCAGACCCCTGAGTCACAAGTCATGCCGGGCTGCTTTGTTGCAACCATCATACCATGTGGGTGTCCAGGCCTGGATACTCCGGAAGGAAATGATTGTCAGCATTCCTAAGGCCATGGCCTGGAATCTAAGTCCCTCCTTAGGCTGAGACATCTGATAGACTTGAATACTTTGGGAAGAATGGGATTTGGGGATCTAGCCTTACAAGTAAACAGAAGGTCATGTACAATAGAATTGAGGGCAGAGTAGAATTACTACTGAGCAGGACCCATTTAAATGTCCAGGAGCCGACTGAAGGTTGGGCAGAACAGACAGTCTAAATGGCTTAGGAAGTCTGTCTGGATGGATGGTGACAAGTGTGAGCATCTGTCAATAGGCCAAGGAGGGATTCGGACCTGTGTCAGTATCTGAGGGTTGAATGCAAGAAGGGACCCGGGGATGTGCAAGAGATAGATTTAACGACCCTTCCCCCCCCCTCCCCCCCCCCCCCCCCGCGCTGTGCGGGGAGGGAGTTCAAGAAGGAGGCACTGGGAGGAGTGTGGGCCCCTCCACTGGGTCCCCCCGGGTCCCCCCCCCCCCCCCCCCCCCCGCCTCCGCGCGACCTAGGCAGCCCTGGCTACGCCTAGGCCGCCACCTCCGCGCAGGCGCGCTGGCATACCAGGCCTCGCGCCTCCGCCGCCCCCACACGTGCCGCCGCGGGGAGCGGCCGGATGCGACGCCGCGTGACGCCCCCAGGGCGCGGCCGCACTCATAAAAGGCCCGCGGAGCGGCGGCGCCGGCCCCAGGATCCGACCTCGGCCGCGCGTGCGACGCTGTCGTGAGAGTCCGCGGTGGGTGCGATGCAGCTCCTGATGAGGGTTCCCTCTCTTCCGGAGCGGGGCGAGTTGGACTGTAACATCTGCTACCGGCCCTTTAACCTCGGCAGCCGCGCGCCCCGCCGCCTACCCGGCACGGCGCGCGCCCGCTGCGGCCACACGCTCTGCACCGCCTGCCTGAGGGAGCTGGCGGCGCGCGGCGACGGCGGCGGGGCGGCCGCGCGCGTGGTGCGCCTGCGCCGCGTCGTCACGTGCCCCTTCTGCCGCGCGCCCACCCCGCTTCCGCGTGGCGGCGTCGCGGAGGTGGCTCTCGACTCGGCCTTGTGGTCACGACTGGAGGAAAAAGCACGAGCCGAGCGCGAACGAGATGGTGAAGCGGCGAGCCCGGCCAAGGAGAGCGGCGACGCGGATGGCGAGGCCGACGGCGTGGAAGAGGAGGAGGAGTGCGAAGAGGGGGCGGGGCCGCGAGGCGCGGGGTGGCGCGCGCTGCGGAGGCTCTGGGGCCGGGTCTCGGCGCCCTCGCGCACTTGGCGGCGTCCGCTGCCTAGCAACGGTGAGGAGGGGGCCTCGGGGTGGACCGCTGGACTTCTGCGGCCTCCTCCCGCTGCCACTAACCCATCTTCTTTTCCCCAGTGCTGTACTGCCCAGAGATCAAAGACATTGCCCACATGACCGGGTGCACGCTGTAACCGAGGGAACCTGCGAGCTATGGCGGAAGGAAGAAGATGGAAGCTGCATGGTTGGGCGTGTTTTTAGTACAAGGGGCCAAGGCAACACTACCCTCCTAGGTCTTGGAGGGTTGGCAGACGATGAGGATGAGGGAGTAGAACCCAGGGCTGGAGAGAGTGCCCGCTTCACCCCCTCCACCCAGCAGGAGATGCTGAGTCTGAGATGGGGAAGGTCCAGACAGAACGCACCTTCATCCTCTCTCTGACTTCATTACATTTTCAGAATGGACTGGGGATACCAACAAAGTCCAAGTTATGGAGGGTGTGCCGGGGAGGAGATGGGCAGACTTTTTCTTAGCTGTGGCTTTGACTTTTTGTCCAAAGGGACTGTGGTGTATGGGAACAACAGATCCCATTTTAGCAGTTGTCAGTGGTTGGTTTTTTTAAAAGATGGAGCAGGAGAAAATAGACTGATTTTCAAGTCACAATAATTTCTTCTCTGGCATGTAAGAAAGTTAGTTCATAAGCCTACTGTCTGCTCACTGCCAGTTCTGTGTTCCAGAACTTAAGAGATGCCTCCTTGTCTTTAAGGGCCTTACTTTATATACAGTCTCAACTTAGGACATTTATTTGAGGCACTTGGGGCTTATCAAGGATGAGAGCCATTTGATAAAGACATCAAAATCTAACGTTTGTTATTATTAGTCACAGGGGCACCCAGGGACTACTGGAGAAAAACGTGCTCAAATAACTTTAAACTTGTGTCCCATAATGGGACATCATTTGTTGAATTCTATTTTAAAGTCTTGTAACTATAACCATTGTCAGGGACCAATAGAGTTTATGTCACCTGGGAGTGACACAATTTGTTGGGAGTACAGAATCTCAGGATTCGACTCCAAATTTACTGAACCAAACTGTAGTTTCACAATCCCAGGTGATAGATGTGTACATAAAAAGCATTGGTCTAGGGGCTGGGAAGGTGGCTCAGTGGTAGAGTGCTTGCTTTGCAGGCATGAGACCCTGGGTTCTATTCCTCAGCACCACATAGCAGAAAAAGCCAGAAATGGCGCTATGGCTCAAGTGGTAGAGAGCTAGTCTTGATTTGAAGAGCTGAGGGACAGCACCCAGGCCCAGAGTCAGGCCCGTGACTGACCAAAAAAAAAAAAAAAATATTGGTCTAAATCCTAGACATTTTAGAATGTCACTACCTGTGAGTGTTCTGAAGTGAATGTCTAAGGAAACATTCTACTGTTGAAGAAAACATCCATTTTTCTGAGTTAAAAATGTGAACTTAGAGACTGGGAATGAGGCTTAGAGATAAGAGTGCTTGCCTAGTATGCATGAAACCCTGGGTTTGATTCCTTAATATCACATAAACAGAAAAAGCTGGAAGTGGTGCTGTGACTCAAGTGGTAGAGTGCTAGCCTTGAGCAAAAGAAGCTCAGGGACAGTGTCCAAGCCCCAGGACTAGCAAAAAAAAAAGGAAAAAAAAGGTGAACTTAAGTATAGATCTCAATATTTTTTAAAGCTTGCTGTTTTTTTTAATTAATTTTTTAAAATTGACTTCTTGAATGTGTCCATTTATGGTGTTTTACTGTCCCTCTTAAAATATATTTTGGCATTTTCCCCTAACCTTAAGTTGTAAGTTAAATATTCCTTCTTTTGGGGAGCTTCTCCACTCTCTCTGTAACATAAAGCCTTACTCTATTTATTTTGTATTTCATGTTTGATGTGTTCTCCAGAGTATAAACTTTATGGAATTATCTCCAAAGTCAGCAGCAGTGTTAATGTACATATAGTACATACTCAATAAATGTTTGTTGTACTTATCTCTGATTTTTCTTTTTTGGTTGGTTGTGGGGCTTGAACTCAGGGCCTGGGTGCTGACCCTGAGCCTCTTTGTGTTGAAGACTAGTGCTCTACTACTTGAGCCACAGGGCCACTTCCCGTTTTTGAGTCATTAATTGGTGACTTTTCTGCCCGGGTTGGCTTCCAACTGTGATCCTCACATCTCTGCCTCCTGAGTTGCTAGGATTGATTACATGCATGAGCCGTTAGCACCCAGCTACCTCTGATTTTTTTATGTAATAGTCACAAGAATAGTATGTGGCCTCACCTCAACCTCAGGGGTTCCTGTGGTGAATAATACAGGACAGTGAACTGTCTAGCAGACCTTTGGCAAACTATGCATGCAGGTCTGTCTGCCTCCCCCAGCCACCTCTAAAAACAAAACCAATCACCACCACAAAAACAAAGACCTGGCGCCTCTCCTGTTTCATACTGGAGTTGAACCTCTGGAGCTACAGTGACCTCTACTGACTCTTACAGAAACTAGTAACATGAGGTAGAAAGGATGGTCAAAAGTACAACTAGAAGGCAATTTTGAAATATGCCACGTATTCCTGCTGCACTCTTGTCCAGGAAGCCCAATTCCCTCTGCACCCCACCACTGGCCTCGAGGTTCCTGCTGCTTATCCTCCATCTTTACTCTGAGCTTATCATTGGCTGGCATTGGGAAAAGAGTTTTAATTTTAATGAATGACTCGAGATCAAAATGAGGAAAGGAAAAGTCACAAGGTTAAGAGATACAGAGAGAGATGGATAAAGATGAGATGGCAGAAAGCAATCATCTTTCTTATCCCTCCTCCCCACAAGAAATTTCCCCAGCCAAAAATAACAGCACACAGAAAGGAAAGTATAATTTATATGTACAACCAATAAACCTGATACAGAAGAGGGGATTGGGACAGATCAGGAGTGGGTGTGGAGAGACTGGGAAAGGGGCAGCAAGAAAGTGAAGGGGCAGCAGAGCAAGTGGGGGGTTTGCCATGCAAACTACCACTCCCTGTCCCCCCTTCCTTGGAAAGGGTGTGTATCTACACCTCCTCCTGCCCTTCACTATGTTGTTCTGGTCCCACAAACAAGGCCGTCCCCTGACTAGGCTCCTGGCCTGACCCACTCACACTAAAGTCTGTACCTAGGCCTTAGAAGGGAGGGTAGAAGTCCCCAATGAACCTGAGCCCCAGAGTGGGGAGGTGGGGGGCTGCCCCCATGTTTGGCCTGTTGTATTCTCTCCCACCCTTTCTAGGCTATCTGGGATCCTAGAACAGGTTGGGGAGCTCCTCTTTGGCTTGAGGGAGTTTTCACCCAACCATTACTCTGTGGGGGTAGTCCTTGGTCCCTAGAAAGGGAGAGATACTTCCCAATACAAGATGCCAGTACACAGGAGGTAACTGAGCCAGTGAGTGACGCCTTTATTCTGAAGTCGAACAGTAACTGACTTCCTCCCTTGTAACTGTTCCACCCTCCATTTGGGGCGAGGCAGGGAGGTAACATGCAGCCACCCTCCTCTTCCCTTCTCCCTCCTGGGTCTCATTTTCATTCCTCTCTAAAAGTGCCCTTCCTCTCTTTGAAGCTCTTCTCCCCAGAAAAACTCCTACTAAAGGCCAGGCAAGACCCCCATTTCTGCAAGAGGTGGAGCTGATCTGATATTGCAGGAAAAGAGACTGGAGGCTCCACCTCTTTCCTCCCCAGAATCATTTATTAGGAAACTGTATATTTGGCGGTGGGGGATAAAGGTACTTAGAAGACTTTGCTAACCATCTCCCACCCAGACCTCTTCACACCAGCACAGTTTTCAAAGCTTGGTGGGAAAGGTACCTGGAAGTGGAGAAGGTCAAGGGGCCCTTTCTTGGAGAGAGGAGTTATAAAGGGGCAAAGGGGCTCTTAGCCCAGCGGTGACCCAGTGGATGGGGAAGGCGGAAGGTTGGCAGCAGGCCCCAAGGCCTGAGCATGGGGTCGGCTCCGGGGACGGGGCCTGGGTGAAGGGCAGGCCTGGGATCCAGTCAGTCGTCTATACAGATCACCTCCCCGGTTCGGGGCTCCTTCCGATCCAGCCCGTCTGACACCAATGCCCCCACCATTTCCTTCTCCTTCTTCACCAGCACTGGAGGGCCGTTGGTGGCTGTTTGGGAAGGGGGTAAGGAAAGGTCAATCCCTACACAGCGCCAAATATCACACCCCATGACAACAACATAATCCTCACTTCTAGGTCACTTCCAGTTTTCCTGGGTAAGGGTTAGAAGACCTCTTCCTGAGATTTCCCTTGTACCACACGATTTAACCACAGGTTCCAACCCTCATTCTACCCCTTCTGAATTCATATTCACTTTCCCTTGAGGTCCCTCAGGTAGAGAAGGCATAGTGGGAAATATCAAGCCACAGAACCACTGAAACCCTGGTGAGGTTTCTGACCATGAGGACAGACAAGGGAATCAGAAAGGATGAGTAGTACAAAGCCTCAAACAACTCCATTCCCTAAAACACAGGTTACTTCCACAGAAATGAGATGAGCTGGAATAGGGCAAGGGTGTTGAGCAGGAGTGAAGCTTAGCCAAGGAAGAAAGAGAGAAGCAGGGAGTTGGAAACTACCGGCTGACCTGTGATGAAGGACCCGGCAGGCATCTGGCTGTAATTGGCGCCTGCGGCGGCCAGAGCCCCTACGGGTGTGGCGCTGAAGGCCGCCCCGTACCCCGGAGGTGTGGCGTAGGGACCTGGGGGGAATGCCTGGAATAAAGAGTGAGCTGAGGTTGGTTAGTCAGTTCACAGTCTGAGGACAGAAGCTGTACAGGAACATGAGCCACACTTCAGAACTGCTGAGGGGTATGACCCAGGCAAGGGAGATTCACTCAAGGGTGAAGACTGTGGTCTTGCAAGTTGTTTTTCCATATGGTATAGGATTCTGATAGAAGTGAATGTGTGCGTGCAGGAGTAGCAACAACAGGGAAAATGAGTTAGGGAGAAAGAGGGTTACCGGTGTGGGGTGAGGTTCCGTGCCCTTGCTGGCCAGCCGGCTGAGGATGCTGCGCTCGGACATCTGAAGGCGGGCTGCGATGGGGGGTATTCGGGACAGCGTGGCTGGCAGGCGGGTCACGTCCGCCTTCATGTCGCTCAGCAACTCCTCCAGCTGGTTTAGAACTGGGGCCCGGGCCACGGAGAAAGAAGGGCAAGAAAAGGATAGGAAAAAGAGATGGAGCCAGAAAAAGTGACAAGAAGTCAGATGGATAGGTATAGTCAGAAGAAGAGAAAGACACAGACATCAAAGAACCAGAGACCAAGTGACAGAAGCAACATAAGAAAGGAACAGAAAGCAGACAGAAAAAGTGTGACCCAGGGGAGAAGAAAGTTTCAGGAAAGAGACAGAGACCAGATCACCAGA